CATTCACTTCAGTATAATTAAATAAATACATATATAGAAACGTAAATAAACCTCTACGAAGACCGTATACATAACCTTTCAATACTACGTTTGCGTCTTTTCCATGAAATAATGTGCACATTGCTTTGTGGAAAGGAAAACGGAAATATCTTTTCATATAAAGATCCGAAACTGAATGCATTTTTTTAATGAGTTACTTAATTCTATACTTTATACAATTAATCCTACGAATTGATCAGTAAGTTTGAGTATTTGACAGACAATGTAGAAAGATTTTGGAACGAGAGAAAAGTAAAATGTCTCGTCGAGCACTGATATACTAAATGTTTTTGATAATTTTTTTCATTTATTTATAAATTAATTAATAATATAATGTTTAAATATTAATCATCACTTGTTTTATCAATAGATTTTTAGATTTTAGATATTCGTACAGTCAACCTAAATTTATAAATGTATACAGTTTTATAATAATTAGCTTATTATTTTATAACTTCCCATTTTTTTAAGCAAACTAAACAACATTATTTGTCTTTCCAAATCTATATGTATAATTTTGATCGAACCAACCTGTTAAATAATTATTCAGGAAACATGCAGTTTGTGGTCAGTTAGCTGCTACCTATAAGAGGAATCACTCAGAATTTATTGACACGTTTGCTTTGGTGAATTATTAATTATTATGCATTTTATAAAGAGATCAGCTTTTGAAATACTAGTATTTTTTTGTCCTTAATCTTTCCAGGGCATATATATTTAAAGTGATTTTTTTTACTACAATAGACAAAATTTGAGGTAATTTAACAGTGAAAGAGTTCAACATTCAGGAGGTGGAGAGTTCTATATCAAAATCCAATTACTATTAACTCTTATTTAATTGTATTTTTTTTAGATAATGCAACGATTTAACTAATTAAAAGCAATAAAGACAGAAAACGTGCATGAGATGAACATATATTGATAAATGAATTGTACATGTGATATTCACTACTACAGTATTAATTAATTTGGGTTTAAATCACTACGTGGTAAACGGAGGGATACCCCCTTTATCTCATCAAAATGGTGCATTTTCTTTCAAAATCTACATTTGATGCTTTACTTAAAAAATATTTTCCCTCTTGAATATTATGAGGAACTTTTTCTAAAACATAATATTAAAAAATACAAGGCATTTGAGAGTTTTTCATGGTGTAATTAATATAATTTTTTTAAAAATTAGGGATGTGATTAATAAAATTTTATAATTGATGCAACTTACTAAATAAAAGTAGACATGGAAAAAGTGTATAATAATTAGATAATTTATTAGAAGTATAAGTTAATTAATGGTGTTCTATAAATTATAATATTGAATGGATTATTGAGTTTCTTGACTCCTTAGAACAACAATGGTTGGTGGAGAAGATGATAAAGAATGTAACTAAACAATTATAATTAAACAAGACAACTAAACATCTTTTAAACAAAAAAGAGAGAAAAACACGGGGGGTTTATGGAGGGAAAAGGCCAAAGGGAGAAACATGATTGGAAGGATGCTTGAAGGAAGAAAAGTGTTGGGCGGTGGAGCCTACGGCGGAGACCTAATGGAGGGACAATGGACTTTAATAAAACCCTAATACAGCCTGGAAAGTCTCAGTGGACGGCCATTATTCCTCCCTCTCTCTCCTCTTTGCCCTTCACGAGATGCTATCACCACCATACTTTCTTACCACTATTAAGCCTTGGGATTCATGAAAACATCACAAGACTTCTTTTTGGGCATGCATGACTTTGCCCTCTTTCTTCCTCTTTCTTATATGGATTCCAGAAATCCTTTTGACAAAAACCACACACTACACATATATACTTGTTAATTATTTAATACAAAGCATTAAGTCTTTCTGTAGAAAATAATGAAAGGGATTTGAATTTGGTGTCTTGCAATGATGGAGAGATGATTCAGTGGCCTTTCAGTTAGGAATTTAGCTAAATTGCAGTTGCTCTTGTCCTTTTAGTTTAAACCACAATAATTATTAGTTTAGCTAAATACTCATTTCTTCTTATAATTTCACTCAAATAACTCATCTTTTACCGGTGTCATTTAAATTCTTGGCTACATGTATAGGTGATCTTCAACATTCATAAGCAATTTTTATACGATTATCTTAACGTGTGGTTGATTTTCAGTTTATATTTAACAAAAATATATTTGGAAAACTATTTGTTAGATTTAGTTAAAACACATTCTAAATATGATTTAAAAGTACTTTTAAAGGTTACACAAATAAATAATTACTAAGTCAAGCTTAATTAGCTACATGAGTATGTAATTAATTGGGAGTAATTCTCGCAATGGATTTTTTCTCCCACATACTTCATTCTTCATTGCTTAACATTTGTTTTTCTTGATTAACATTCACTATTTAAAATATGCCTAGTAAGGTTAAAATTTTGTTAAGCATTCTCCTCAAGACCAAATATAACAAATGAGCACACATATTATTTGATTTTTGAATGAAAAGAAGTAAACAACCATTCATTCGACTATGTCATAAGAATAATGTGAATGAGATAGCTCTTATCTAGGTAACAAGGTTTAGTCATCAATCTAGTCGTTACTGCTAGCAAATTATAGAGTTTTCAGTAAGAGCAAAGCCTGACAGGCTATGCTTTTATATATATATATATTTTGAGGGCTGAACTTAAGGTAAAAAGGAATTTTAGTATAAAAAGGTTTTTAAACCTTACCTTTATAGACACTACAAAAATGAGTTCAGCTCAAGCTAACCCTTAATTAAGCCTTTATAATTTTTTTATAACTTTATTATATACATAATTTACTTAAAATTTTAAATTAATATATTAGAATAATATAATTTATCAAGCATTTATTCTAGGTGATAAAGATGAAGTTGGTGGGATTAATAATACACCACTTCCAAGTAGATCTTTCTCCAAATGATATAATATTTTATTTTTGAATAAATATTGATGATAATAATAAGGACCAAAAAATATTTACATTTTGAATTACAGGCAATTTAAACTTGTGTGGTTTATATTATGTTTTGGCGTCTGTATATATTGGAAGTTATTACTATCTTTTAAATATTTAATTAATGTATTTTAAAATTTATATATGTATTATTATAAATATAAATTTTAATTTTTTTTAAAAAAATATATATGGGCTTTCAAACTCAACCTTGAGCCTTGTTAATAAGAGTTGGTTTAAAAAAAATATTAATTTTAATATAAGAGAGCTTATGAACTTGAGTATTTAAAGATTGAGCTTATAAGGGTTGAGTCATTTCTTATTGACAACTCTAGCAAATTAGTGTGGCTCACCAAAAAAGGCATAAAAAAATCACAAAATTTCAATGTATATATGAAATTAATTTTTAATTAGAGAATTATTCTTGGTTTGAAATTAATACAATTAGATATAGCTGGATCATTTATCACTTATTAATATTGTGAGATTTAGTAGTAGATATTAATATTACGATGGTAGTTTTGAAAAAAAAATCGAATTATATGAAATAAAAAGATAAATGGCAAATTGAAACCCTTCAAAATAAGTGTAAATTTGTCATGATCAGAAGAGAACATAATTTACAAGAAAAGATGCCGAAATAAGTAATTATATTGAATGAGGGAAATAACTAATTGTGCACAAGTTACATTAGGCATAACGACTTTTTTCGGGAAAAAACGTAATCCTTATAATGTAGTAATCGAAATAGATATGATAAAATGACAAGCCTAATTAAGTAAATGAGGATGAAATGACACATGGACGGATATTGAAGAGAAAAGCAAAAATATTACCAAGAGGCAAATGTACCCTTTCCACCTCAAATTATAAAATAATATGAGATAAAATTATACTTCTACATATCAATAAAATACTAATGATTAATGTCACTTTACAAATTACAATATTTTAAAATAAAATTATAAATTTTTAAAAATACCTTTATATATTTAATTATTATTTTATAATTTCATTTCAATTCTCTCTCTAATTGAAGGATAATATTAAAAAGAATTCACTAAAAAAATTTATTTTTATGAATTTGTCTTATATAATTTTAAAATAATAAATTTATTTAAAATTATCTTATAATTTAAGATGGTGAGAATATTTCTTTCCATTTGTCCATCCATGCAATGCATTTCATCGCCCCAACGCAAAACATTGAATGAATCATCTACACGTCCACTGATATTTGTAAATGCCACTCAGTGCGTTTGATTATTATAAAAAATTGATTAATAATCAATATGATTAATTTTAAATATAACTAATTATAGAATGTGATATAATTAATTTATAAAATTGATTCATATGACTAATTCTAGGTAGAAGTAAAAGGTAAAACTTATAAAATATATTTCGGTCTTCATATTTAGATCCATCCGATATATACATAAAAAACTAAACAAAAATGTAAATTTAAAAATAGCTCTCTCTCTCTCTCTCTATATATATATATATATTTGGAAAATTGTAACAAAGAAAAGGCAAAAAAAAAAAAATGCAGGCTTGTAATGAAATAGGGCCAAATATGTTTTGGGCAACTGCAAGAAAAGCAAACGAGAATTCGAGCGTGACACGAAGCTCTTGTGATGTCAAAAGGACAATGCGGAGTTTGCGTCTAGTGTACGTGTGATCCAATACACGAATACAAACAAAATTACACACAATGTGGTCGAACACAGTGATGAAAATGGTAAAACTCACGTTAGATTGGCATATTACAATTTTACGTCCGATGTCTATCCCAATGTTACCTGAAACTATACTATATTATACATAAATGTCTTCAATCCTTACCGCTTTCTCCCAAAGTAAAACGTGTCGGCGTCAGTCTCTTACCTTTTCTTGTTCACAACTTCACATTCAGTAGTCTCAATTCTCATCCTTCTTTTTCTCCATTTTCTCTTATTTCTCACTCTGATTTGAAAAAAAAAAAAATTAATTAAGTAAAAATTTTAAGACACATGGATAAAAGGTTGTTGTGCAGAGTCTCCCTTCCTTCAAAGATAAGATTCGCTTGCTAACTCTTTCTTCACCCTCCATTATCATCCTCACTCTTTCTCTCTCTCACATCGCCATTGTCTTCATCGTTCTGATCAGCTCCACTTCTTGGATCATTCCCTCTGATTCCTCCGTGCCTCCAATGGCTCCTCTTCTCAGAATCTTGTTCGCTTTCATGCCTCTGTTTGTTGCTCTGGCTATGGCGGATTCTCTCAAATCCGTCTCCAAGGAGCAGATCCAGTGCACAATGTGCTCATCTTGTCAGAACCCCTGTAATCCGGTTCCCTCTCCGCCGCCGCCCTCTCCTCCTCCTCCGGCTTCATCGTCCGCCAATTGCCCTCCCCCTCCTTCTCCGCCCAGCTCCGGCGGTGGTGGATCGTACTATTACTCTCCTCCCCCGCCTGCTCAGTACACTTACTCGTCCCCGCCTCCCCCGTCGTATGGTGGCGGAGGAGGGATCGGCGGCGGAGGAACGTATTACCCTCCTCCGTATAACAAGAACTACCCGACGCCGCCGCCTCCGAACCCAATTGTGCCTTACTTCCCTTTCTACTACTACAGCCCCCCTCCTCCGTCGACGGCGGCTCCATCGCCGTCGATCGGTTCATCGGTTCCTGCAATCGCTCTGTTTTCGTCTTTGTTTCTTTTGCTTTTGTAGAAAGCAAGAGAAGAAACGGAAAGAAACAGTTGGAATAACTGCGCAGAATCGCAGATCTGGAAATTTCGAGGGAATGCGGGCGAAGAAGGAGGACGCGAAGAGCTTCCATGGCGGATTCCTGAAGTTCCCAATTTACCCTTTTCTCGGCACAAAGGAAAGAACACACTACAAGAAGTTACGCATTATAGCTATTGTTGTTGTCCCTCCCTTTTGTACCCCTTTCTCTGTTCTCTTAATTTCTCTGGTAACGTAGGGAGAACGATGCGGATCTTCAACTTGTACGTAGCTTATTATGATTTGATTAATATGATGATCAAATTTTAGGAATATAATGTTTTTGTTCGGGTCATTAATTTGTGTGTTTAGAGTTGTGATTATGATTAACAAGGTCGAAACTGAAGAAAAACAGTTAGGGGCAATAATTGAGGAGTTCCAAGGCGAAGAACTATAAACAAGAGGGCGATAAAAGTAATTTTGGATGGGAGTGACAGAGTGGGGTTGATGAACACAATAATGAAGGCGGCTAGAATGGTGATATATTGTACAAGAGGCACTTAACCAATTTTAGGTAACGCTTCAAATGACGACAACTTTATTGAAAGTCGTTTTTTTTTTAAGTTAGATTTCTGCATTTCTACTTACATGTAAACAGTGATACATGAAGCTAATCATCCATGAAATTCACTTTTTTTAATAATATAATTGGAGCATCGTTATGTGCTTATGTAAATCTTTCAGCACTCAGGCCCGTTTGATTTTTTTACATTTTACATTCACAAAATAAAATTTTATTTTGATATTAAAAATTATTTAGATAAAATATTTTATAAAAAAGCAAAAGCACATTACTGAAATTAAATTTTTAAAACGTAACTATTTAAAAATTTTGAAAAGTAAATTTTAAAAGTAGGATATTATTTGATTATATTATCCCAAATATAATCTTCTTATTCTTTTACTTAACAAATAATTAATTCATTAAAAATATAATTATCGTTTCAATAATAATAATAATAATAATAATAATAATAATAATAATTAGTAGGTATCAAGTTTTTAACATTATAAATTGAATAATTAATCATATTAGCTTTTAGCATTAATGTATAATAAAAGTTATACATCTTTATCATATTTTTTAAAATTATAAATTAGAAAAGTACAAATAACTAGAGATTAAATTTTTAACATTATAAATTAAATTTTATATTATTTAAAATCTTTATCATATTTTTTAAATATTTTAAATATATTACATTTATATAATAAAAATTACAAATCATCATAAATTAATATCTTTTTTGATAATTGTATATTTAAAAATACATTTCACTATCACAAATTAAACAATTTTCAGTGTAGCAAATAGACTTTTGAAAAAATAAATTTAAATATAAATTTTATTACAACAACTAACTTTCACTAAACTGACTTTTACCGAATGGACTTTTATCAAATGAACTCTTGATAAACTGAAAATCAAATACACACTCAATCACCCTTAATATATGAAATTTATGTTTTACTATTGCATTTATATAAATTCCTTGTCCTTTAGGTAAAAGTCATGCACAATTCTCTTAAAGTTGGAGCTACTAGTCTTGCTGTGTGACATGTGACATGGGAAATTATTAATTGTAATGAAAGCTGTGATGATTCACGCATATGGAATATGTATCCGTTAGGCATGTCCGCGTCTTGGGTGGGTTGCTTGCAGTTAATTAAACGGGAGCGTCTTACTAAAGAGACACTTCAATTCGATTCATGAGTGGGTGTGGTTGTGGCTTGTGATGAAGAAAATAACGTTCCTTTCAGTTTTCTGTCACTTTCTACGCTGCGTTCCTTAGTTGTATGGTTGGTTAACTCTTTTGACCTTCCATTTTCAGAATGGGTTAACTTGAAAGTTCATATTTTTATGCACATTGAATGACTACGCCCACTTGAGCCGGATTTGAATTGTGTCACTGTCTCCCACAATCTTCATAATGCCACGCAGGATACTTAGTGGATGAGAACATTTGGGACACCTGGATACAATTAAACCAACAGTGATGGGGGGATATTGTTATGGGAGAATGACAAGTAAGAATTATATAAAAAAATTAATATTAAGTTATAATTTTTTTAAACACCAAATATCTCAAATTTAATGTCCCTTCTCCCATGTTTTAGTATTAAAATTCTAAATTTAATATTAACTTTTTCAAAAGATCTTTGTTTGTAATTCCCCTATTGTTTTTTATTATATATAATAGAATGAGAAGATGAGGAAGGGGAAGGTTGGGCTGGAAGCGAATGGAGGATGAAGTGGAAGGTCCGAATTTCTGACATAGCAGATTCGGATGCTTCTGCTGACCCAATCACCTCTGTACGAATCATTCGCTACTTTCTGCATCCGCATCACAGCTTACACTTATATGAATTTAATAATAATAATTTTATGTTTTTTAATAATAAAAATAAATACAATAGATTTATTTAATTTTTGAATGAGAAAGGTCACAATACATATCGTACAAATGACAACAATCAAATTGTATTATTAGTACTTAAAAAGCTTTTACACTTCAAAGGTTGGTCGGTCTAAAATCTTAACATTTAATGAACGCAGGATTTGAGTCAAAGTCAAATCAAAACACTACGAGTACAGCGCATCCTCGGTGGAAAGCCCCTAGATTGTCGAGCGTCGATCCTCTCCTTATCTTTTAAATGTTACATTCATTTTTCTCGCACGTAACCTTTAACTAGAAAAATTTTAAAAATTTCCTCCAGCAGAAGGGACGCGGATCCATGTTCATAGATTGTCGTAATTACATTCATATAATATAATCATTAAAAAATATATTTTTTCATCTTAAATTATAAAACATTTTTTTAAAAAATTTCTATCTCAAAATATAAAATACTTTAAATAAATTAATATTTTATTAAATATATCAATTTTAATATAACTCTTTCTCTCTTTATAATTAATTTTCATCATTTCTATTTTTAATATATTAAATGATACTTCCTCCGTTTTAAATTATAAGGCACTTTTAAAGAAATTTTTTATTTCAAAATATAAGGCACTTTGAGTATATTAAAATTTTATTAAATTTTTCAATTTCAATATTACCCTTTCTCTTTCTATAATTAATTTCCATCACTTTTCTTTTCATTATATTAAATGATGGGTATTTTGAGAAGTTTATATTTTTATTTTGAAAAAAATAAGATTGTTAAGTGCATTTAATGAGATTTATTGATATGTGAGATTTTATCTAAAAGTGTTTTATAATTTGGAATGAAGGAGTAGCTATTTTTGAAAATTTATATTTTTTTAAAGATAAAGTTATTAAGTATATTTAATGAGATTTATTAATATATAAAATTTTATTTAAAAATATCTTATAATTTAAGACAAAAGGAGTACTATATATTGGCCAAAGGAAAAATACACCGTATACTCCTTCTCTTTAATATTATTAGACATTTTTAACTAAATTACACTTTTAAGTAATTAATTATTTTTAAAATTTCACACTCTCTTTATATTTATTCATATTTAGTATGATGTCTTAATTAAAAAATCTTATTAATTACATCACTAATTAAAGATATCTAAAAAAATTCATTAATTATATTTTAAAAGACAAAAAATGTCATGTAATTTTTAATGGATCTAAATCTTTTGAAATTAAAATTTGTTATTTGAGTTAAGTTTTCTAGTTTAGTATTTTATTTATATTATTTTTTATAAAATATAAAATTTTCTCTCTCTTTTCTGGAAGGGAAAACTTCACATAAATTTACTAATATCAAATTTAAGAAAATCCAAATCCTTTTTTTAACATCTTATTTGAAAAAAAATTGTCTTATATTGTTGAATGGGTAAAACATAATATATCATATTTGCTTATAATCTTTCCATTACTCTTTCCATTTAAAAATATAAGATATTTTTAATCAAATCTCACCATTCAATAAAGTAGTTATCTATTTTCAAACTAATCCTATATTTCTATATTTACCCCTATTAAACACCCACAATAAATATAAAGTCATTATTAATAGGGACACTTTTAGAAAAAAAAAGCCAATAATTATATCTCGAAAGACTAAAAATACTTTTATATTTTTTAATATTTAATTTTTTAAAAAATATTTTATATTTTTGAATGAAGGAAGTAATTTTTAGCACGCTATTCTAAATGCAGTATATTTTTTAACTTTTATGAACGTAAATAATTCAAATTCATTGCTGTGGACTTACACAGAAACGAAGTCCGATATTCATATATTTACATGCATGAAGTCAGAAAAAGGATTATACTGTTTATTATTGACAAATATTGCAACCTGTTATAATTTTTTTATTTTACATTGTTATTGATTAATATTGATATTGATAATATCATGTATAATTAATTAACTTGCCTGAGTTAATAAAAATATATTAAATTTCTTTCATTATTTTTCTTTGGGACAAAAAAACACTGTTGATTATCACTGTCAAACTAACCCTAAGGCCCAAATTGAAAAGTCTAATTAGTAGGACTGCTGAGTGAAATAAGAATTAAATTTACAAGCAGCTTAGAAGTGCAATGTTAAAGAAGTCTTTATAAGTGGGCCCATAAAAAATGAGCATAAGCCCCACACTAGACTGAAAAATGTTAAGGAATGAGGAGTAGTATTTAAAGAGGAAATTAGGCAGCCCTCAAATCTGAGGAAATGAATGAGCTATAGGGCTAAACCATTTTACATTGAAAATTTTAAATTGCAGTAATGTCATGCTTCTTTCAATTTGAAATATACGACCCGGTTCACTAATTCGTGAAAATTAAAAAATTGATTAAGTTAGTTATTTGTCATTATTGTATAAAAAATTGTTAATTTTTTCTAAAATACTCCCAAAGAGAGAGAGCCCCGCCTTAGATGTAGAAGACAAAAAGAGTGAGGAAAAAAACGGTTAAATTAATAAGGATAATTTGGAGGGAAAATGTTAAATGAGGGAGAACAAAAGGATTTATATGTCATATTATTTAGAACTAAAAAAAATCCTTAAATTAGGTCTTATATTGAGGAGTAGAGGGAGTAATAAATAATAAATAATAATTTTTTGGTGGAATTGATGAGTTTGAATTTGTGCAGGAAAATAGAATAATAATGGAAAGAAAAAAAAAACAGAAATGGTTAAAAAGAATGAATGCTAGGTTTATGGGAAAAGTAATTGAAATACAAAAGTAGCAGTGGTTATGTTTGTTCCCGTCTCAATCAACTTAATTTCATCTTAATTATTTAAAGATGAAAATAGGATACAAGATCACCGTTGTGACGATCTAACTCATCCTAAATATCTTATTATATATTTTTCTTTTCTTTTAATATTTAGTAT